AACTCTGAACTCTTAGTTACTCTTGAAATCGCATATTTAATTAGTTTCCCTTGACAATGGCGCCAAGATGTCGCCGAAACGTCGGATTTGTCTATCGTCAGTTTTTGCCTGTATATGTTTATCTAAATCATTGTTGATTATTATTATTATTATTAGTATTAGTATTAGTATTAGTATTAGTATTAGTATTATTTTTTATTTTTTATTTTTTTTAGTACTAATTCGAACTTCCATGGTGTTCTCGTGGTCACCTGGGCTTGCGTTCATCTCGTTGTCTTTTTGCTCTCACCTCATGTTCCATCTACGTTTAAGTCCACAACAGTGATACCGTTTATTTATTTGCTATGGCATGGGCATTGTATATGTATTGCGCGGGGCAGATTATATTACGTTTTATACCATGCCTTAGAAAATACAGCCGATCAATTTAGAGGAAAGCCGTTGTATAACCGACGGTATTACATCTAACCATGGTGCTCTGCACTGATTCGGTTGGCCACTGTATTTTCTACGGCATGGTTTAAAATAGTTATGCAGCACTTGCTCGTGGTCTACCACGGGATATCCCACTTGTCAATTGTATTTTCTTGGTATGTGCGCTGGCCTAATTACGGCTCATGTGTGTACCGTTAAAATGCAAGTGACTCGTGGGATATTCCATGGTATGCCACGAGAAAGCATTGCATAACTATTTTATTTTTTTGTGATTTCTTAATAGAGATACTTATCACTATGTATATATATCTGATGTGCACGTTGGATAACCATATGCATAAAGGTTATTGTCGGTTTTTAGCTTATCTTGAAAGGTTATTTCCTGTTACTAGGAATCAAGAGGTATTTCTGGAGGTCAAAGGAAGAGGGTTAACATTGGCATGGAACTGGTGACTGATCCAACATTACTCTTTCTTGATGAGCCCACAAGGTACAGCGCCATAAATGTTATTGATTATTAATACGGAACGAGAAGAGTTAGGTCTCAGAGTCTGCAACTAAAACTAGGAAGATATGGTAAACAAATAGTCAAAGATTCCGCACTTCTATATTGTTTGACAAATAGATTCTATATTGCCGTGCTTCTGTAATAGATCACAGATGACGTCAAAATGTGCTAAGAGCGAAAAAGTGCCACACGAGCCTCTTACCACATTTTGACGACGTCTTCTGTGATCTGTTACTGAACAGACGCACGGCAACATGGAATTCGGTTGTTTTATATAACAAAGAAACCAGAAAGAATATGTCAATGACGTCATCTGTACGTCTGTCTTCCAATAGATCATAGGTGAAAACCAATGAAAATGCAAGAATAATTATTATAGTAATAATAATTATATTCTCTCAATCATATTACCTATAAAGTAACATAAATTAGAGCAACTGCTTTGATTCGCATTTGCTTAGCTCTCCAATACATTAAAAACTTTGTTCTAATCAATCTAGACAAACTGGTTACCAATATGTAACATTTGTCTTATTCGCATTTCCTGTGCTTTGAGTCTGTCGCATGTTTTTGCTTGCAGCTTTGATTGGCGCTGATCTTGCTTGCTAAAATTAGGATCCAATTAGCTTTATGCGAATGATTTTATTTCGTTTAACTTCAACAACAGTCCTTGGAAAACAAGTCTGTAAGTCATAAATTCGTTCTGGTCGATACAGCGTATAGATCTTTGATGTCGGTGACTTACGATCTTCGGAACTCCGGAATTGAGATGTTCCGTACTCGACTGAGCTTACATACGGGATGTTATAGTGTTAGAGAGCGTTATTTACTGTTTTTTTCGTTAGTGGTCTGGACAGCACGTCGAGTTTGATGGTTGTAGATGCTTTGAAGGCGGTCGCGGAAGAGAGAAAGTTGACAATTGTTTGCGTCATTCATCAGCCAAGATACGAAATATTCAGTGAGTATTTTTGATTTCAAGAACATTTTAGACATCAGTCAAGGAAATATGTCTACGGCTACATATTTCATTTAAATAAGTTTCAATCTGCTCTCAAGCCGTAATTAAACTGGCAATATTTCATGTGGTTTAGGAAACCTGGTTATTTTAGCTCGCTGTTTACTTGTATTATTTTGTTACGTCAACATTTTGTTTGTTTGTTTATTTTTGCATGGTTTCCAGGTAAATTCCACAAAGTTCTTTTCCTTGCCCCTGGCGGCAAAACCGTTTTTCAAGGAACGGTACCTGGAGCAGAAAACTATTTTGAACGCTTTGGCATTGATAAGCCCGATAAAGTAAACCCAGCAGACTTCTACATGGACGTCATTGGTGGAATGTTTGACAGTAAGGAATCTGAGTCTACCCCTTTACCCGAGCAGTGGGAGCAGTACGCGTCCCAAAATAGCGCGGGTGCGGAAAGAGTTGAGAATGCTACTGGAGCTCCAGATAGCCCAGTTACGAGGCAAGCTGATGTGACGTTGGAACTTTCGTTTGACCCTTCAGCTGACATTTTGATTAAAGAAAACCAAGGTATTACGCAGTAGTAACAACATACTGGTTATAAAAAATCATTAGTTCAGTTAGGTTTTAATAATGATAATGATAATGCTTACACGATGTATACCGGAAAGAATGGTCGATTTTCTGACCCATGTATTAGATCCCTGTGGTAGATTGGCCTTGGAAGTAAATCACATTGATTTCACTGTCAGTGTCAGTCTCTCTTAGCAAGAAAGCACGGTTACTGTTTCTTTCCTTTTCCTAGATCAGCAAGACCGAGCGATGCCCAATTTCCTGATCCAGTTCTTCACTTTCCTTCGCCGTGAAATTCGTCTTCAGTTCCGCTTGTCCCGTTCTCTTCTTCTGGATCAGTTCCTGGTGTTACTTGCTGGAGGTACCCTGGGGGCTCTGAGAAAAGAGGTTAGCCTACTGTATATGAAGCCTAAAATTACCTCTCCTACAGCTACAGATGAGTACAAACGAAGCATTGAATACCAGTGCCTGCTTCTTTTTTAATACTGGTTGAATTGATTCTTAGTGTATAGTTACGACGTCTTTAAAACTGCAAACTTACAGAGATTAGGAGAAGAAAATATTCGTCATGAATATATGTGAACTATGAACCTTTCAATTTCACCAATATCGATGTCATGGGAAGGGTAAAGAGATCAACCAATACCGTCGCTTGCATCTAAGCGTGAACACGTGACGCCGAAACATGCTCTAATTGGGTCTCAAACGTTGCATGATTGGTCATCAAACATTTGAAGTTTAGCATACCGTGACGCGAACTTTCGCGCTCGGAAAGACTTTGAAAGTCTTGCTCCCGCCAATTTTTCATGGTTATTCTACAAGTAAAACCACTTTTGCGAAAGGCGTATGGATATTGACACAGGTCATGGTCCATTTCTCTGAAGAAGTCTTCAATGTCCAATCTTTCTGCCATTTCGTGTGCTGAACTTTGTGCTAACATCAAATGTTTGATGACCAATCATGCCACGTTTGACACCCAATCAGAACATGTTTCGGCGTCACGTGTTCACACTTAGATGCAAGCGACGTAGTGGCCTCTCAAGGCTCATAGATGTGACGGAAAGTACCTCTTTACACTGACGCATGCGCGTTTCGTGGCTGTGCCTCTTATATTCCCGCACAAGTCATCATTATTTTTGAAAAAAAAAGCAAACGATTTTTGTTTGTGTCACTTTGTTTTCGTCATCAGGCTCCACTCGACGAGTTTTTCACGCTTGTCACTCTCAGCTCTCTAGCAATTGGTTTGACCGCCATGTTATCATCGCTGAGGTGTTTTGGAAGCAATCGGGCTACATTCTGGCGGTAAGTTAGACTCTCTGCTTTTGTTAACCAGTACAAACTATTACTGAGATCATTATTGTACTTGGACCCACAGTGCCAGTCAGCGGTTTATCTTATGCTCCATCTCACCCACATACGTCATGAAAGCGCCAACATATGAATTTTTTCGCACATTGCTATTGAACAATTAACTCCTAAGTATTTTCCGACAACGCTGTCGCCTTTAGCAAATCATCATTTTATCCCTTTTATTCAACAGACGTTTCTCAGTTTGCTCATGTTAAATTTTAAGTGGACGAAAAGATTTTTTGTTGCAATAAAATAAGGATTTTTTTTCTCTAATTGTAATGCTTTAATTATTTATCTTGGGACTCATTTTGACTTGATCATGAACTACGATAGGACTGTATTGTCTTATTTCTGGCATAAAATGAATCTAAAATATTCCATGGGCCTTTCCAGGGAAGCAGCCTCTGGTGTCAACAGAGTCAGCTACTTCGTGGCTGTCAACGTCGCTCAGATTCCCATAATCCTTATCACTCCCCTCGTCTACCTGAGCCTGCTGTACCCACTGGTCTCACCAAGAGGTATGTACAAATACATGCATACAGACCTTGTTATTGTGCACGCGGCTAACAATGGGGCAGTCCAGTCAAAAATGAGACGGCAACTTGTCTGAGCAGCTGCTTGTCGTTATCAGGGGAAGTCAGTTACTTAGCAATATTATTATACATTGAACTCACTATCTCTTTTCTGCTTGGCCGAAAGCGTACAGTGAATTTTTGAAATCAGCACCTGTTACGTCATCTAGCTGCAGATTATACAATAATCATGTCAAGGACCCTCAAGGTCACGGGTAATCGTGTATGACCGCGGTGCATAATTTCTAAGGGTAATCATGTGAAGTTCGCACGCTTTATGTTGCTTGCCGTCAGTGAAGAAGCAAAAACATGACTTCCATTATTTTTTCGTTCAATGTATAATTCGGCTTCCGCTGATAACCCCTACCTCGATCTTCATTATTCTGGATATCACAAAAACCTCATCTAATAATTGTTTGCAGCACGTCATTAAACTTTGGATAATGTTTTTGAGCTCGTAAGCTTATTGTTGTATGGTGCACAGCGGAAGAAAAATAATATTTCAAACTGAAAATGAGTATTGTCTTACAGCTATTTTCTGGTCATCTTTCTCGGTAACATCGTGATTTAAGACTAGTTGCATGCATGATAAATTTTTCGCGGGCAACTGTCAAAAAGTTGTCGTGCCACAGATAGACTCTATTCTTGTGAATTAGTAGCTAACTGCATGAGATCTGTGTAACGCAAAAGAATCGCTAGTTCCACGCATTCTTAGCACGCATTCATGTAATTCAACGCAATCTTTTTCAGGTTATTTTCGATTTCATTATGCCGCCACGCTCGGAGCTCAGTTTGCCTGCACCGGAGTGGGATACTGTATATCCGCCATCTTCAACCCTAAGAACTCTCAAATGGCGTCCGTCACCTTCGCGCTGATTTGTTCTCTTGTGTCAGGTAAGCAAAGATGAGGAACATAATAATGAAATTGGAAGGGGAAGGGAGAGTGGGAAAGGGACGGAAGAAGGAAGGGAGAGGGATGGACAATGAAAATGGCTATTAAATTAAATTGCTGGAATATTTTTTTTAGATTCTGGGGGGGAGGAACAAAAGGAGAGAAGAAAGAAGGATAGTGTCTTAATATTTAATCCACCCGTGTATGGCTGGATTTAAACGGAAGTAATTCACCACAATTCTGCGTTCAATTAAGTCGACGAAACTACGAAAGACTTTTTAAAGGAATTGCTGTTTTTAGTGGAATTAATAACAAGAGAGACCCTCCTCGAGCGCGGGAAGAACTGAGCTGGCAAAACGACGTCTGTTTACTTAAAAGGGCTCAGTCACTGTATTTTGGGTTATTTTGGCCACGCACATAATTAGCTTTTAAATTGAAGGAAAACTGAAAATAGTGGTTAACTAAGCTAGAAAAACGCCAAAGAGATAACAATAGTCCGGCATAAAGGAACAAGGATGGCTAAGCATGGAGAAGATTAACACGGATTGCAAATGACGAAGTTGAAAAATTAAGGCTACACTTTTCAAGATGCGGAGAGCGTAACGTAGCTCGTTTAAACTCATTTCTGTTTCGTTATGAACACATTTTTGCAGGCAGTTCTCCTACGCTGTGTAAAATGGACGGCTACTCATTTTTTGGGCCGTTGCTGTACAATCTATCCTACTGTCGCTGGTATTTGGAAGCGTTGTTCGAAAAAGAAGCTCTTCGTTACCCAGACGTCCTAGCGCTATATGTCCACCGGCTGTCCACAAGGAATGGATACACGTTGGATAATTACAGCACATGCGTGGGAGTTTTGTTTGCCATGGGGTTGGTCTACCGCGGGCTAGCGTTGCTGTTTATGTTATTTACAAATAGGGGGAAGCAGCAGTGAATAAAATTTACTAAGCGTGCTTTGGTGTGGTTTAACTTATAGCTGAGAGCTGGCCACGTTTTTAACTGTTAGCTGAGATATGTAGTATTCTATACTGACTGCTGTTATAGTTAAGAAGAAGGGTGTCAATGGGGTATAGCTCAAGTCAGTAAACAGCTTAGAAAAGGCCATTTAGTCAGTAAACTGTTAGGAGAAATGGATTTAGTCAGTAAACAGCAAAAAAGTAGATTAGTTAATTTTGTATGTTTTTATGACTTTAATGAACTGTAGATGATATCCGTTTGCAAAATAAATAATGATTGGTGATTGTTTTTAGAATTATTGAAAATGAAATTTGAAAATTGAGTATTTTGTTCTCTGTATTACGCCACTCGGAACTTTGGTAAAAATTTGTATATCAGTAATGGCTGCCATGTTTGCAAAGAAGCGAAGGGAGAAGCCTGGAATCGGTAACTAAAACTGCAGGCAGAGGCAGTGCTCAGGCTCGGAATGTGTTACGAAATAAGACTGAATCAGGGCCAAACTCCAACAGGACAGACAACCGTGTCAGACGAGGTCCACAATTGTCAGACGAGGTCAAAGTAAAGGAAAATTTACATTTGTATCTCAAAAATGTTGTTATTTGGCCGCCAGTACCGCATACGCTAAAAAGTCGATCATCTTTGATATGTTAGTCAGTTCATATTTTGTTGTTTATACGGTTACGATAGCCAAAGAAAAAGAGAAAATAAATAAAATAATAATCAGATACGCTAAACAGTTAACCCTATTATATTTTTCGTTTGGCGACCTCAACAATCTGTACTGTTGAGGTCGCTTTAATGTAAGCCCTGAATTTCGGCTCATCCTCGGTGTAAAAACCTCACAACTGACATCACGATAAAAGTTATTTCACTTTTATCGTGACGTCAGCTGTGAGGTTTTTACACCGAGGATGAACCTAAACTTCTTTCAAGGCTGACAGAAAGAAAAGCCTGTTAGTTACAAAATAACTAGGGATTGTCCTAAAACACACCACATACATATTTATATAGATTGCAGGTGTTTTAAAAAGTTGTAGATTGTTGCCTCAAGACGCTATACTTTGTAATTAGTTTTTACTTAAGGAGGATAATAGTAGTTTCGAAAGTTTAAGGTGGCAGACAGAATTGATTGTAAACTTTGTAAAACGTTGCATCTTAAAAGCCTCATCACAACTCCCTAATACAAATGAGGGTAACCGAGTTCTGTTTTGAGTTGTAAGCGCTTGAAGCTAAAATTAGGGGTGTTTCATGAGGTTGTGCTGTGGCTATGGTAAACTATCGTGCCATAAAGTTGAATATTATTGGTTCACAAATGGCTGGGCATATGTGTGATATTAATATTGTAGTAGTATTGTAGTGATCGCTCCGTGTATTGTATTTTATTATTATTATTTTATTATCACTTGATAAACAGTGGTAGTGTTTATTTAGCCGTCAGACTATAGCTTTTGGAAAAGTGTAGGAAACTGTTGCTAGTCAATTTAGCAAAGAAGAACATCCCCTTGGTTATCGGTCATTAGTATAAATCTACTAGCGTTCTATCACGAATGCCGTTCTCTGATTGGCTACGCTACTCACTATCTATTCTGCTGTAGATAGTGAGTAGCATAGCAGCGTGCGCTAGGGGCCTCTTCTTTGTGTTTTCGAAGTGTCTTTAAAGAGAATTTAGATTAAATTTTTGAAAGACAAGTAGATTTATACTAAAACAATTAGATTCGCTCTCGATTTCTATGCGTGATAGTTGAAGCTATCACGCGATATATGGAAATCTCGAGCTCATAATCTAATTGTTTAGTAGATTATATATTTCACGCACATGTGTGTTGGTATTGTTTCATAATATAGATACCACATAGGGAGGATAAAGGTTGCACAATCAAAATCTTGACTGTAGATAATAATATGCAAATAAACTCGTTATAATAATAACAGTCTCAAGTCTTTCATGGTTGCTTGTAGATATGGGATTACTCTTCTCGTGTCCAACTGTGTATCTCACTGGTTTGCTGTCGAGAGAAATTTCATATTGATGCGTGCCCAGCTATTACTCTTTATATATCACTGCTATTTAATTAATTTACCTTATAAACATTTGCATGGACATATTTAAATTCTGGGCCCATTTTTTTTCAAGAACAGGTAACACCATCCACGGAATAGATCGCCACCTATTGGGCAACTAAGCTATAATTACACATTAGATGGATAGCACTGTCTACCCTTGTGGAGGCAGCGTGGCCGAGTGGTCAGCGTGTCGGACTCGCAATGCAGCGTTCCCGGGTTCGAGTCCCTCTCTGACCACTACCTGGATTTGTTTCTCAGTAGCCTCGAGCTCAAATCCTCGGCCACGCTTGTAAATAGCCAACTGGTTTGCCTCCGGTCAGTAGGGATTCTTAACAATTGTTTGTTTCAGTTGGTTGCTCGGCCCCACTACACTAGCACTTGTGCTATAACACTGCCGAGGGTAAATAAAGGTTATATAAATACCCTTAACCCTTAATTACTGCACGCGCGTGGAGACCATAATCCTTTGCGGTCACCAAATGAGTGAGTTTTCGCGAGAATTACTGGGATCTTTAGCTTCATTCGCGAGCCGTTTTTGCATCTTTCTCAACTTCCCTTCGTTTTTGGAAGAATCACTCCGTGTATTGTATATCAGAGTCGTCGAAAATTCCTTTGGAGTTTTTTCAGGGGTCAGTATTTCTCCTTGTTCCTGGTGCAAGACTGAGTCTTTGGGCTGATCGTTTGTTGAACCGGACAAAAAGTCATCATTCCCAGAAACCACAAAGCTATTTTTTCTTGTCAATTGAACGCCATCCGCGAAACTCTCTATCGCAAAGCTCGAAGACCTGGTCACTTTCCGTTTGGAGAATCTGTAGAGTCGCTTGAAAACATTACCGTTTCGTGAATTGTTACTGACGATGTCATCAAGGTTAACGACCTCAGCTGGGAAGAGCTCCTGTAAAATAGATGATAAGATAAGCTGTATCTCATTTTTTATATACTCTCAAATCTAAGCTCAGTTGACTGATAGGGTAATTCTGTGTCAGATTATTGTGCTACGAAAGAGGAAAGACTGGTGAAAGTAGTTTAGTGAGAACTTCGGGATTGCATTGTAACTAAAAAAATTGCTTGTAGCTAAACACAGTCAGAATAGTTTTACCATCAGGCTATTCGTAACTGCATTCTTTTAATTTCTTTTGACGAGTCACACAGGACTACCTGGCAAACTAGCAAGATACACTAACTCAGTTTTGGTGTGATCAACTCTAAAAATGTAAAAAAATAATTGTTGGAGGAAACAAAAAGTCGAGACATTAATAATTAGCCATGAGATACCTTGTCCTTTCTCCTGGAAATAAATCTGGAAAGAAACGATGTGCTCTCTTTTTCCGAGGAAGGATTTTGGAAACTTGTCACCTGTTTTAAACAGAGGACAATCAGAATATACATGTAGTTCACCGTGTTCGGTATTCAGTTTGTATCTAACACAGGAGATCACTGAAGGTCAAAGGAACTTATTCTATGTCTATATACATTTCACCGATGAGAGTAATTGATGAACATTCAGATGTTAATAAGCAGTCGGAGCCAGCCAAGCACATCAGAAAACACCCTAACCACAAGATCTCGTGGGAAGTTTTAACCACTGCCCATTCATGATTAAAAAGGAGAATAAAAGAAGCGTTCTACATCGCACGCTTCCGTCCAGAACTAAACAAACAAGTGCAATCACTGGACCTCACCTTGTTCCCCGTGGGAACAGGTATTACATAACTGGCATTACCTGTTATTACCTAACTATAAGAACACTGAGCGTATGCATATTATTTCACTCTGATGATGATGATCAAACAGATCGAAAACGTTAAGACTCAATTTTAACAGCTTTTTACCTGAAAGTTTTATTTTTATTCTATGTCTATTTTCGTAGTCTTGTTTCCAATGGAAAGCTTATTCAGTTCATGAACGGCTAACAAGTTCCCTTTCTATTTCCGTTCAAAAGCGCGATGGCCAAATGGCTAGTGCATACAGGTCCACACAGGTCGGGATTGGGATCGAAGCGGCTTAGATTGAGCTTAAGTGGGCGGGGTCAGATGATAGGAGGGGTTAGCAATACCTTCTGTCGTTTCATTCTATAGAAACCATCTTACCTTGTAATGATGCCGTTCGGATGATACATCACCGCGGCCATACGAATCCGAGAGGGAATAGGAACCATAAACCTTAGGTTGATAGGAATTGGGTAATGATTCTGTTGATTGCGTCATTTTATAAACACGTGACCAAGGTAACAAGCTACTACTCGTCGCATAATTCTGCATTTGTAAGTCTTCGAAACCCGAATCGCGTCCTTTGGACAAATTGGCAATGCACGTTTCGTCGATCTGTGATCTTTCATAGGGGAGTTTGCCTCTGTCGTTTTCTACTCGAAGATTGTTGTGATGGTTAAGCAACACGCCGCTCTCCGCACTATTCCTGTATAAGGAGTACGGTTTGCGTATCCTACGCTCTTTATCTAACAATCTGTCATAAGGTGTAAAATGACTTAATTGTCGTTCAGCATATGGGCTCTCAGAATCCCTTTCGATGGCTTTCCTCTCAAAGCGTACTCGCTTTAGACTGTGTTTCCCAGAGATTAAACCATTGACGCCTTCGATGTTGTTAGTCTCTGCCTATAGATATGGAAAAAAAGTTCAGTTAACCAAGCCATGTAAAAAACGTCCATCCGATCTTTTGGTTTTGCTTTGGAAATTTGCTTAAACATGACTTGTTTTCAATATGTTTTTGAGAAAATTACACAGCACCAGTAAACAATTATTAGATTGAGGGCATATTCTGCTGTTCTCTCCTTCTGCAAAGCTAGCACTGGACGACAGAAGAAAAAGGCTGAAAGAAAATATGATACGATATTACGATATGATAAATATTTTGGGTTAAAAATATAAACTTTCAGACTTCTGTCTGTAACTACCTACCTGGTAAAGGAAGTGCGCGCATGCCTCGTTCCCACTCTCAATGGCCACGTTAAAAGCAGTTCTTCCCAGTCTGTCGCGAAGTTTGATCGCTGCACCACTTCGGAATGTGTGAAGAGGAAAAATATACAGTCAGTTAACTGGACAGAAGCACTGGGAGAGTGCCTTAGCCAAGAACACAGCTCAAGAACCCCGGCCAAGGATTTTAACCCTTAAACCCGAACCGATCAAGTCCAACCTACTAACGGGTTAACACCAACAACAACGACAATAACAACAGTAGTAACACTGAAAACAACAACAGCAGCAGCAGCAACAGCAACAACAACAACAACAACAGCAGCAACAGCAAAAAAAACAACAACAACAGCAGCAACAGCAAGAAAAACAACAACAACACCCATAACATTAGAAAAGGAATGCATGGCGGAATGAAGGCAGCACTCACCCACGCATTAGTAGCTTGACCACTTCTACATGACCGTTTTGTGCAGCTACATGTAGCGGACTGGACCCGAATTTATTTCTCTCATTGCCCACACTGTTGACATTACTTATAAGCCACTCAACACAAGAACGGCGACCGTAAGCTGCCGCTAAAAGGAAACAAAAATATAGGATTGATTTACCAGAAGCTACTCTTTCACTGACAAGAAATGAACTTCCCTAGTTACGAAAGGAGATGTGGAAATTCCCCTTAATGCACAGATTCTTGGTGTGGTGAAGTCAGTTTCAGTTTGAAATTAAACGTGCCTGTATGCAAACCGCTTTCACCTTACGAGCAATTTGAATCTTGAATCTGCTTTCGTACCATAGTGCAGAGGTGTATTGGCCGCCCTATCCCGAGCCAGCGCACTGCAGCCAGCGGAGCTTAGAAGAAATGCCATGCACTCCAAATGACCTTCAAAAGCCGCAGCGTGGGTAGCGGTCATACCATCTACAGTCATGTCATTATGAGCCGTACCAGAATGCTTTGCAAGCCACATCAAACAGGTTAAGTGACCTTCTTGCGCTACAAGAAAGCAAAACACAACAAACCAGTTAGAATAGTTTCCTTCCATCGTCAAAAGTAGTATGGTTCATTACTACAGCGTGATTCGATGAGAGACCTGGATGGGGGTGATGTAATTAATTCTAGGCTCATTTAAATTGAGAGTGATTTCCCAGGTGTTAGTAGTGATACTCAATTTAGAAATTAAAAGTTCCAGTTTTTTTTTAGCTTCTTACCTGAAAAGTAAAGAGGTGTTGCCCCGCTATTGTCCTGTCGAGAAGCGTAGAAATTTAAAATCATTTAGCGTTTCATATCACATCTGATAAATTAAATCTTAATAAGAGGGAGCTTTAGATTGGACTACGAGAACGAGATTGAGTACGAGTTCGATTTTCGATTTTCAAATTAGTGACGTTTCCAGGGTCCTCGCTGTTCATGCTGGTTTTAGGCAGAGAGGGTAGCTCATGGGATGAAATGAGTATGTGATGTGATAATGTGAAGCCTGCAAACTAGAATTGAAAAGTCGTTCTCGCACTCGATCTCGTACTCTTACTCAAATATAAAGTCCCCTAAAAATAACAATGACAATAACGACAACGAAAACGATAACGATAACGATAACGTCAACGATAATGATAATGATAATAACAATAATTAAAACATATCTATACAGGATGGCTGCATCAGGCATAGGCAATGAATTACAATAAATAAAAGGGCATAGGCAACGAATTACCGTTGGTATGTTGCGAAAGTCAAGAAATAGCGCATAGCTGAACGAGTGAAGATACTACCCATTTATATGTTTTTCCAGGAGGTCCTTGATTTCAGCTATCAGCTAATTGTATCGTTGGTTTTAGTGCCAACGAACGAAGAAAGGAAGAAATTTTAATCAATTTTTACAAGTTAATTTTAACTTCTTTTGATTTGAAATCAACTGAGTTCACAAACCGTAAAGCAAATACTTTTCGAAGCCTTTCGGTAAATCCATTTGAGGCATCCAAGATGGCCACCTGCAGCCGCGTAATGAGCTGGTACCGAGCCTTCAGCTGACCTGAATCATGAATGAGACAGAACGAATGGTTTGTTGTTGGGTTCAATTTGAGCATATTCATCTTGTCATAAATGAGAGAGTTTCACTGCTAGTTAATTACGTTCGATACTGTCTCTATTCTTTGACGAATGCCCGTTTGCATGAAACTTGGGACTTGTTAGGACATTAAAACTAAAAATATTGCTATACTTTTATAGCCAGGTTTTTACAAATTCATAGTTTTTTTTTTTTTTTTTTTTTTTGAAAGAAAGCAATTTATAAAATTAGTTTTTCTCAATAGCCGCATTGTTTGCTCAGGAAGAAAAACGAAAATGCTTTTGCAGATCAATATTTAACCGCAACCTAAAACCCTGAGATGTAATTGATATCCTCGCAAATTATTGCCACATAGATTTCTTTTAGTTAGTCCAGGGCATTGAATTGTGTTCAATGTTATCTAGAACTGATGAACGTCATCACAGCTGAAATATACTCGTAACGATCTTCAGGAAACTGTGAGGATTAAGCTTTCGAGGTCATGAAGAGTTCTAGGGGTTAATGTTTCAAAACGCCGTTTATTTTCAAACATATAAGTTGCAGGTTGCGCAGAAAAACGCCCGAAAACGTAACCTCTAATTAAATCTATCTAAATCGCTAGATAAATGGTCATTACTCGCATCATTTAGTTTAATAGACAGTGTTGCAAAATATATATATTTTTTTACCTGGTAGTTAAGCTGCTTCCATGTTTCAATAGCCACTTAGCACACATCAAATAGCCACGATATACTGCATGATGAATATGACACATGCCTTGTTGATCCAGAGTATTTGGAGCAAACCTCCCGGTGGCGTATAATGCTTTTAAGCGCTGTAGATGTTTTCCTTCCCTTGTTTCCGTCATTGATGATATTTAAAGATGTCTTGTAGGTACATAAACGACACTCATTACACAGCCAACAAGAAGAGAATTTACACTTCGTAAGATTCGCTTTAAAATGCTCTTCAAAGGAAAATTTGATGCTACTTGCATGATCGAATTTTTTGGTTTAAAGCTTACTGTTTGTGAATCTCACAAAACGAAGAAACATTTCTGAGCTACATACTGAAGTTTGAGAATTTCATCATACTTTCGATGTGGTACAGGGTACTGTGAATCTACTCGGTAGCCGGGCTGAAAGTTTTCTCTCGTGAAGAAAGGATGCTTTTCTGAGAATCGTTTTCCCTGTGAATGTTTTTCTTCCCCTGTGGTATCGATGAAACAGAATCACAATTTGTATAAATATTTAACTAGAGTATAGAAGAAAACAAAAGAAGTTTTCACTAAACTAAAACCAAAATATAGGATATCTTTTGTTGTTTTCTTTTGTCTTTGATATCAATATTTTACATTTTGTGTCCATTCAGCTTGTATTTTCAACTAATTGGCCATAAGATGGCGACTCAAGTATCTGGATGGGATCACTTTATCTCAACAAAAGCGGTTTTGTCTCTTATTCGTTAAACCAGTTGCCTGGGTTTAATTCTCGCGCCCGAAGGTCTCAAATGGATTACAGCGTAATGACGTCAGTTCCCTGCTGTACAATGACGTATATGTTCACTCTGTTGGAATTCTATTACTTAATGTTTGCGCTACACGACTACTGGAGAGGACTGGCAGGGGATGCAAAGAGTCCAGGCACCAGGGTCTGGTCTCCGTAGCGAGTCGGGAGACCGAGAGAGGGGTGCTTGGACTGTTGCTATGGAAACTGCTACAATAGCGAGGTGCGCCCATTGCACCGAGTCACACCGATCACAACCGGTGGCTAGTAAGCGGTAAGGAAAGGAAAGGAACGGAGAAAAAAGAGGAGGGGGAGGGAGGGGCGAAAATGCGCAGGTAGAACGCGGCGAACAACAGCAACGCCACTGGTACAGAACCAAACGCAGAGACGCGTACAGAACCAAACGCAGAGACGAACGTACCAGGCGAAACGCCCCTCAACGGGGCTTGTGGCGAGAGCGAGGTTAAAACGAACAGAGGACTGGGTGCTGCTTCCCCAACAAACTTGACACCAAAAAACGCGCAAAAAGAACGCTGAACTGATTTTCTCCCCAGCTCGCAGTCGATGTATTATTATGATGAATACGTGCTCAGGGACCAGTGACATGCGTTTACCCAGAGACAGCCTAAACTACGTGAAGCCTGGATGAAGACAGTAGTTTATAGTGAACAGTGTTTTTCTTTAGGATAACCCAGTCTTTAGGGCTACATTCATGTATTCCTAAACAACAACAACAACAACAACGACAGCACCAATAGAAACAACGATGCAAATGCAAAAGTCAAAGTCAAAGAATATGCAAAGGCAAAGGCAAGGTAAAAGCAACAGCAGATGAAAATCTCAGTTAAAAACTGAACAATTAGAAGCAAACCAAAAAGTTCAAAATTTACTTCATCATGTTTAAGAAAGTTGAATTTTTTCTTTGGTTACTGTAAAACATAATGTCCTAGGACCATACCGGGCCAGTAAAAGGTATCATTATATGTAAGAATTGTACATTAATATAGCTTATACGCGACAAGGCAAGAAACAAAAAACTCATTAAAAGAGATTTTGAGACTTTTAATAATTCTCTTTCGTGGCTAATTCTTTTCTCGGCTAACGGTTAGAATTTTCCAATTTTTACGCCTAACGGTTAAATTTTTGGCCCGTTTTAGGGCAATATGTTACCAGTTAACCCCATTGAGACCCTCGTAGAAGGTTTGCTTAAAAAGTGATTATCAGGCATCACCCCTCCCCGAAGTGAACTTCCCTCGCAGCCGCACTAGATAAAAGTTGCTCCCCTGCATGATTGCTGTTATATTAAATAGCGCCTTTATTTTTTTCAAATCCGACTTCGTTCAGTCAGCGACCCTTTATAAAATCCGATACATTTTTTTACTTCAGGAATATTTCCTGTTTTTTCATATTCTATGCTTATCTTCACGCTGCATTATGAAGCAGCACATACTGACTCGAAGTATTACTGCTCCCAGCCCTCAAGGAGTTGCTAGTCCACAGCATTTTTGTCAGTCTCTTCAATAATTTGTTTACCCTTTGGGTCACAACAGCGGAAGGCACGGTGGCCTCGACTCCGGATCGAGCGGTCCGGGTTCGAACCCTGGCGGGGGACATAGTGCTGTGTTCTTGGGCAAGACAGTTTAATGTCACAGTGCCTCTCTCCACCCAGGTGTATAAATGGGTACCAGCGAATTAAATGCTGGGGGTAACCCGGGGGGGA